GGGCACTTCACTCTTTCCCGTCCTTTTTCGTGGCTTCTGCAAAGGGTGATTTCTCCCTCCCTCACCCCGCCCCGAAACACGGCAGCAGCTTTTCAAATGCACCCTGAAATGAGTGCAAACGTTTTGAACCGTAAGGGGAGGGGGAGCGTGTGGGCAAAAGCAAGTGGGGGGGGAGAGCGGTTTTTAGAGCAGGGAGAAAGTAGGGAGGGAAAGGGTTAAGCAACCTTCTTCTACCTCTCTGCCCCAAATCTTGCTTTTTGGTCACTCCCCCCTGCCAGGACCCCTTTTGTCCCGGGGAGGTGCCCTTCTTGCTGACCCTTCAAGCCCAGGGCCTGCTGCGAACTGGGCGAGGTGGCACCCCGACTCGGGAAACGCCGGGCCTGGTTTCTGCTGCTCTGCTGCCCCTGCTTTGGGGCTGGTTTTGTAACGTCCCCCAAATGCCTTAAAAGGGGGGGGGGTTTGTTGCATTTGGAGTGTCATGGCTCAGCTTCAGAGGGTTGACTGAGAAGCCAAATCGGGCATTTCCTGGCATGTGTGGTGAGTTGCCATGGTAAGATTCAAAGGGCCGGTCGAGGCGTCCTCCTCGGGTCTCCTGAGAGAGCAATTTCCTGTTTTCCGGAACAGTTTGGGGGGGGGGGGATTTGTTTGATGATGGCATTTCCCTTATTCCCTTCCCTTCTCTTTTTGCAACTTCTCTGGCTCTGCTCTCTGGAGGGTCCCCAAAGAAATAGCCGGCCCTTTAGGCCGCTCTTCCTCAACCGGGAGCCCTCCAGGGACCAGGACTGCCAGTGGGGAGAACGAGAGCTGAGCTGCAGCACCTCTGGAGGGCACCAGGTTGGGGACAGCTAGCCTGGTTCACTTCTGCACCTCACTGGCCCTGTCCTGCAAGGAAACTGGGAGAAATGTCCCTCCTCCTCCTCCTCCTCCTCCTCCTCCCCTTCCCCTCCCTCTCCCCCCCCAGCTCGGCATTTCCAGATGTTCCCAATGACTATTTCCTATCCAAGAAACCAAACTCTGTCCAGGTAGGGCTGAGGGGCTGTCAAGGGCAGATCTGCAAAGGGGTTCTTCTCTTCAAACTGCTTAAAAAAAAAGTTTACAGGATATGGGTTTCTTCCTGCTCCTTGGGGAGATGGGCAAAGGGTGTTTCTAAAGCGTTTTGATTCAGTCCCAGCCCTGTTCCTTAATGCTTCTGGGCTATTTCCCAGCTGTCCCTCCCTCTCTGCCACTCTGGGGTCTGAAAACTACCCTGCAAGTTCCAGTCCTCTGTGCCTGTGCCGGAATGCAGCTCTGGCTGGTCCCCAAAGGGGACCGTCCAGATTAGCCCCACCATCTTGCCTGGAGGACAGATGTGGTCGGGCGGCTTTCCGAGGGGACCAAGGCTGAAGCGCAGCCGCCTGGGGAAGGGGCAGACGGAACCTGCACTGTGCCCGAAAGTAGCCCCAGAGACTTTGGCATTCACCAGATTGTAGCCTGTTCTCCATAGCTATACATTTAATTGAGCATCAGTTTATTTAATCTTCTGGGGAAGGGGGCCTTCTAAACATTTTCCTGCTGGTTGATTTCTCCTTAATACATATGCATGTTGTGAAATCTTGGAGGGATGAGGGTTCATTTTATTTTTCGTTTCCCCTTGAATGGGGTGACGCTTCAGGAAAGGCAAAGGTGCTTCTTTCCTAGGTCAAAGGAAAAGGCACTGGTAATGTTAACTTTTCCGCACCGTTGGAAGCCGGAGAGATGGATTTTGATTATTCCGTTTGGGGAGAGTTTTTAGTCCTTTGGACCAAATAATCTGCAAGTTTCTAAGTAAACCTTCTGCGGTCTTTCCCGTATACGGTATGACTGGCCTCTCGGCTAGGAAAAAGAAGTGGCTTGCATTGTTGGGAAGTGCGCTTTCGTGTTGACACACCGCATTGGCACACACGCATTTGGATTCTGTTCTTTTTCTCCACAGTCCCTGGATGGATTTGTGTTTGCACTGAATCAAGAGGGAAAATTCCTTTACATCTCCGAGACTGTGTCTATTTACCTTGGGCTTTCACAGGTAGGTGTTGTGTGAGCTGTGTACTAAAATGTGTATAAATAAAAAATCCCACTCGGGTGGCCAGACGAGCGGTGCAGGGGCGGCGCAGCCAGGCGAGGCAGCGAACCTGCAGCAGGGCAGCCCCCCCCCCCCAGCTGCCGCTCACCCCTTTTGGCTCTGCGCAGCCCTCTCGGCGTTCTGGGAAATAGGAGGGAGGGACTTACGTATAAAAAAAGGTGGGATAAAAATGCAGTAATAACAACGACAACTTGAAGACCCTCGGCATTGACAAAAGCACCATCAGTCAATTGCAAAAGGCAGCTTTACTTCAAACAGTTTAGGTCCTGCGATGATACCTTTAACACCCTCAAACAGCAACATCTGGCTATCCCAGGTCCTTGGGAAGGACTCGACAGGGGGATAGAAATGCCAGATCCAGTCTAAATGTCTGGCTGACTGTGCAACCAACAGTAATAGCCTCCTCAAGTGACCAGTCCTCATGAGAGCCTGGTCATCCTTATTCACGCATAAAACGTTTTGGACTTTCTGCTGGGGTGGTTGCTTAGCCTGAGAGGGGGCACGCTAGAGCACCCTTTCCCAGTCTGGCACCGTCTGGGTATACTGGGCTTCACCCCCATCATCCCCTGCCAGAATGACTTTGCCTACCCAGAGCAGGGGAAAGGAGACCCTGGTCCAACGCATCTGGAAAGTGGCAGGTGGAAGGGAGCTATGATTGAGAAGGCATTGGGGAAGCAATGGCTACCTCTCATGGGGGAACGGTGTGTTTGTATGACAGCCTTTTGCGTCTTGCGCCCTTGCCATCGCTGGAGCAGTTGTGGGGTTTCCTCTACCCCACCATGCCCCTGGGCGGATGTCGGAAGTTCTTTGCAAGCCGTGGTGCTCAGTCCCTGCTTTGTGAAGAGGGAGAGAGAGAAAGAAATGGAGATTAGAAAGAGAGCCCCCCCCCAAAAGAGAAGTTGGCTTCTGGTTATCCAGCAAGAACCCAGAAACTGGAGGCCTATCCCCAGGTCGCCTCCCACCCAAGTTCCTGAAGTATTGGGGTTCTTTGCAAGTCGGGAATGGCACCTCCGGGTTGACTTAGAAACCCTGGTTTGGTTGTGGAGCAAGAAGGCAGGATCCCGGCTGCCCAGAATCCGAAGCTCAGAGGAGTGAACTATTTCTAAACTGAGCCCCAAGGTTTTGTGACTTCTGTTGGAATTCTGTTGGGGTTTGGGGTTCTGGCGGAAGGCCTTGAGACCCCCCTCTGTTGTGGAATCTGGCCATGCCAAGTTCAGCAGCGTGAGGAGAAGGGATGAACGGGTATGGGGGGCGTCTGGGCTCACGTATGTGATTCATTCACGGGCATCTTCTTGTCTGTGGTGACTAGTCTGTGCATCTTGCAACTGTGGCTTTCTAGATCAGGCGCTAATTGTGCGCAATGGATGTTGGCATCTGTCTCTTCTTCTAAGCAAATGGGGCTGCTGCTGAACTAAAGGAGGCACATTTTTGACGTCTGCGGGATGCTGGTCCTAACTTGGTGGTTCGAGAACCTTTTTCCGGCAGAGTTTCACGAGTGCCGAGTCACCGTTTTGACTCCCTCGGAGCGCTCAGTGTTCTCTCCGGGTCTCACCTGCTGAGAGCACAGAACATCCGTCTCGTTTTCGGCGGCGCACCAGCGGCTCTGCCTCATGCGTAATGAACCACAGCAATTATCTCCCCTGCAAATGACGCCAGTGAGCTGGCATCATCTGATAATTGATGATCGATGATCAGCCTTCCCTTCCAAGCTGGAATTGATGGATTGTCGTGGCAAGGAGAGGCATTTGCTGAGGTTTATTCTCCCTCCCTTTTCTTGCAGGAGAATTTGATACGGGAGGATTGAGGAGAAAATTGTAGAAGTGCCCAACACACAGGAGAAACCCCCCCTCAAAAAAAATCTGCCTTGCAAATCAGCCTGGTGCCTAGCAGTTGAAAAGGGAAGGGTGTGTGTAACCGTTTCTCTGCCAGTTGCCCTCGCCCATAAATAACCCTTCTGTGTTGATGCCCCTGCTTCCAGTCTTTCATTCCAGATCCACTTTAGATCCAAACTCTGGGAAGGTGGCATTTTCCTCCCAAAGTTTCCTCTGATTTTCTCATCCATGCACTTTCTTTTTCGTGCATGTTCGTGCCCACGCGCTTGGGAATTAGCAAAGAGAAGCTGAGCGTTTCCTGTACTCCAGGGCAAAGATGAAACCAATTTGGCGATCCTGCAGCAGTCCAGCAACAGCCGTGCGCTCGGTCAGTTGTCCAGGACAGCAGGTGATGCCTGTCTCCGGTTAACATTCAAAGGCTGGTCCGGGAAACACACTCGGTGACCTGATTTTTTTCTGCCCCACATTCCAGAGATCGAGATTCTGTTTCTGTCTTTCAAGTGTGCTGGATGAGATCAGATCCAGTTGGGGTTTCTCTTTTTCTCTCCTCGTCTGTATGCTAAAACTTAGAATCCCAGAGTGGAAACTGCTCCAGCTGAATGTCAGGACAGACAAAAAAACCCCTCGCCTGAGCTGCATGATGTAGTTAACTTATGGAACTCACTGCCACAGGATGATCAGCTTGGACACTAACTTTTATTTATTTTTATTTTTTTTATTTATTAAATTTATAGGCCGCCCATCTCCCCCAGAGAGTGACTCTGGTGACTCTGGCTGGCTCATGATTAAAATATGGCTTTAAAAGGGGGTTAGACAGATTCATAGAGGAGGAAGAGGAGAGATCCCCTCAAGGTTATTTGCATAGGATTTTCATAAATCAGTGGGGACCTGTTTTGTTTTTACTAATTTTGATCCATCTAGTGCCAGACCTCTCGGGTGTCCCAGGTAGGAGATGTTTTCTGAGTCCCATCTGAAGATGCTAACGCCTTCTTGTCTGCAACATCTCTATTCTCTGTCACTGTTGGAGGCTTATTGCTTGCACCATTACTAGCACTCCTACTTTGGTTCAGTTGGGGACAGCTTGATCTTGATGGGAGTTCTGAGCCAAGCGTGGGGATTCGGGGGCCCTCCTCCCCCCACATGGAAATTCTTCATTAAATCTTGGAAGACTGGGGTCTTGGGAAAACAGCTTGAAAAAGAAAACAAAGACCCATCATCCATCATCCTTGCTGGAAGTTGGTGCCAGAAGGGATTGGGGGGGACCTTGTAAGAGGAGAGCCCGGTTAGTCTGCAGTAGCCAAAAATCAGGACTTTGGAAACATCTTTTCAGGCAAGCAATTTTATTCAAAGGCAGACGCTTCTGTGAGCTGCAGCCTCGGCCTTTGAATAAAAATCGTGTGCCTGAAAAGATGCTACCGGACCCTCTCCCCGACTTCTCCTGAATAAGTCACTTAGCTGCACCTCCAGTGGACCACTTTCTTTCCTTCTCAGCTTCCTTCCTTCTTTCGTTCTTTTTTTCTTTTCACCTTGAGAACAAGGCAAGAACGTGGAAGCAGGGTGGGCCGGTGCTGGAATTTGAATATCAGCAGAGGGGAAGACGCTCCGGTCTGGCCAATCATTCCCGCCAGCTTCTCCATCTGCAGGGCTGACTGGAGACCTCGCGTGCCTTTCAACTGTCCCATTTGCCTTAAGCAATTAGAGATGGATGAAAATGGGGGGGGGGGAGGAGAGAGAAGATGAAGGGACATTCTCAGAAGCTGAGCCGCGTGGGCTGGCCCTGGGCCCAGATTTGGTGGCGGCCATGTGAGCGACAGCTGTCTCCTTCCACGGGGCATCTGGCAGGGTATGCAGGGCACGGCTCATCTGTTGCTAAGGAGGTTCCCGGAAAGGAGAAGGGTGTCTGGAGGGCAGAGCGTCTCTGGTCGAGGTCACCCGATTTCGTGCCAGTCCTCCCAGACCTGGCTGGAGCCTCCAGGTGTGCCACCTCCCAGATTCCTTTGCTTCTTCCCTCCGGGCACGAAATGAGACTCTGCTAGAATTTGGAGTGCTCGTTGGCATCACCTGGCCGTGCCCACCATGAAGGCCCACACTGCTTCCCCCGGGACACGGCCAGGAGAGGAAATAGAAGCCCCAATCAGCCGCGGCTTCCGGGCGATTTGCGGAGAAACCCTGTCCAGATGTGACACTCTCTGTACTGAGACCTCTTTTGGGATTGTTTCAAGGAGAGAGACCCGTGAGCCACGATGTCTGCCAGACCACGTGCAGGTTTCACCGGGCATAGACTCACGGGGCACTTTTTATTCCTATTCTCAGCATCCTAATTGAAATGCCCAACGTCTTCAACCCTCCCACCCTTCTGTTTTCCTTTATAAGCTGCCCCTTTCCTCCCCCGCAAGCTTGTCTGGGTGTGGCAGGGCGCCCGGGGGAGAAGCAAAGGAACCGGTGCCCGGCGTGGCTTTGCAGGCGAGTCTCCTCGAGGTGTGCCGTGCGCGCACACCTTCCTCCAACGTGGGCACTTTCAACTGCTTGTCTGCCAAGGATTCCAGACCTGGGGCGAACCTCCGGCAAGGAGAAGCCAGCCTTTGATCGTGCATCGAGTTGGGACGGGAAGGACCTTGCCGCGGGCCCTTGGAGAAAGGCAGAGGGGCCTGGTGTGCGTGGGGGGTGTTGGGGGGGAAGAGGAGCTGAGCACAGCTTCTGCCTCAGTGTCAGGGAGAAAAGTGACTCTGACATCCCGCAATGAATGTCTTCCTGGCTGCCTGGCAACCCTTCAGTGCCACTCTGGAGCCAAGCCACCTGGCACGCTGAAGTTTCCGTTTTCCCGCGTCTACCTTGCCAAGCACACCGGAGATGCCCTTTCCTTGAGCTTTCCTTTCTTTGGGCTTCCTGGGCATTGGCTTCCCTCTCCTTCCCCCCCGCAACCCTTTGTCCCATTCCTGCTTTTTCCAGCTGCCTCTTTCATCGCACACTCAGAGGGGACCCGGCTTGCTCCCTCTCCGCTTTGCTCCTTTGCTCCTGCTGGAAGGCCGACCCAGGGCTAGGGGCTATGCAGCGTGGCCTCCCCCACCTATGTCCCCACTGCTCCCCAACCGCTGTGCGGGCTGGGAAGGATGGAAGTTGGGAGCGAACACCTTGCTGCCCTACCTCGCAAAGCAGGCCAGCAGACGCCATTCAAAGCACCCTCGCAGGTGCTCCCCACCCAGAAACAGATCCTTCTTCCCTCTCTCGGCTGCTCTCCCCCTGTTTTTCTTCCCCCCCTCTATCCACTCAATCTCGATTCTCAGAGACTGCCTGGACAAGCCCCTGCAGTTTTCTTGGCAAGGTTTTTCAGAAGTGGCTTGCCATTGCCTCCTTCCTAGGGCTGAGAGAGAGTGGCTGGCCCAAGGTGGCTTCATGCCTAAGGTGGGACTAGAACTGACCATCTCCTGATTTCTAGCCTGGTGCCTTAACCCAGTGTTTGTCAACCTTGGCCACTTTAAGACAGGTGGACTTCAACTCCCAGAATTCCCCAGCCAGCCATGCTGG